TTAAACTGACATAACAAACTGTAGACTACCAAAAATGCCAACTTTTACAGAACAAATCATGTAAAAAATAATCAGTGCAGCCATCTGCAATAAATAAACAGGATAGTTAGTGGTGACTGGGGTGTTTTCTTCTGCTTGTAGAGTGGTTTCATTTATTATTATGTGAACATGATCAACATGTTTGTTGTTGTTCAGGCAGGCCACAGGCTGCAGCGAGCATTTAACAAATCCTAGTTTGAATCAGTAAAAAACGATTCAAGGACTTTTTTCAAACCATTTGAATATTCGTTTCAATATTTCAGCCCTATTAGCTCTGTTAGCAATTAGTTGACCGCATTTAACTGTTAAAATCCCAGTTAACTGGTTCAAAAAATTGAAAACATGCATCATGAGAGCCACATACCTTTATCTTTCTGCTCTTTTTTCTTTTTTTCCCCCTGAATCGGGCACCTGGTGGTTTTAGCCTTTTTATGTTCATCTCTTCTGTTTGGCTCCTGACTCAGTAAGTTTCCTTTAGTCAGGACTAAACAATTTGACCTTGATGGGGGGGTGACCACAAAATCGTTTTGTTTTTCCTTTTTTATTCGGCCATTTCACACAATTCAGAGAAACCTGAAAGAATGATAGGCCTGTGTTTATGATATTATGAATGAAATATGGAAGAACGTTAAGATGTGATTGACTTTAGCCATGTTACAGTTGATTCAGCCCCTGCACGCTCATTTCATCTGGGAAAGACGCAGAGGTGAATTCCCCCGCCGCACCCCTCCCCTTCCTGTTCTTCATAGACACACGGTGCACGTGAACGTTCTCAGTCAGCAGGAGCGCCTGCAACTGCAGGGGGCGCCAACTTGCTGTTTCCAATCCAGACACTGTCATATGACAGATAATAGAACACCTCGGTGCTGCGCAGATTTCCTTTTTTTTTTTTACTCCGCGCTTGTGCGCCCCTTTTGTGTCATGAAAAAATGCCGCCCCGGGCAACTGCCCTGTCTGCCCGTGCCTAAAACTATGGCGTTTAAAGCGTGCCACAACCCGTGCACGCGCATTGGGTCCACAGCGCGCGTGTGAACGGGACTCGCGAGCGCAAATATACATGGCGAGAGGTCATTTGTGCACTGAGAGGGAGCAAACTGTGTCTGTGAGCGCACAAGGATGTGCACAAGTGACAAACCTGCGTGCGCGCGTTGTCAACGAGAACACGGCAGAGGAAAACGTGCGCGCGCGGCAGCCTCTGTGCGCGCTCGGCAGCCTCTCTGCGCGCTCGGTTTCTGACTCCTGCTCGCTCGGCTGTAAGGGTTTTGGCACTCTGGAGGCGTGGCCTGTGGCAGATCTTCTCTGTCCTCTGATTGGTTAGTGTACCCCGCACTTTACCCTCTACCTATCTATACAAAAAAGTCTGCTGTTCAAGCAGTTGCTGGCATAGCTCAGTTGGGAGAGCGGGTGACTCTTGCCCCGGAGGATCCGGGTTTGAGGCCGGGCAAGGAAAATGCAGTAGATGTCATGTTAATTTTTCTTAATTTCAGGTATTTTACAGTTGTGACCGTTCAACTGTCATTAAACGTCCGAATGTTTGCTGGGCAGTGTTTTAAAAAGTGCACATAAGCTAGATGGTTTTAACCATAGAAAATTACATTTTTTGTGATACTGGAAAAATACATACTGAAATAAAACTACTGATTGAAAACTTTATGACTGTGGTTGTACAATATATGACTCACTAATACACTGCAAACTCCCTTAGAGTGGGGCTTCCAGAGAGAGAGAGAGAGAGAGAGAGAGAGACAGAGAGAGAAAAGTTCTTGCCTCATTAATGAATTGTTTATTTTTTTCAGTATTTAATTGACAAATTATCCTTTCAAATAATTAATTGATGAGTTACATAATTGTCCATTTAGAATTGTTGAATGGACTGAGTCAAGTTTGGTGCACTTTATATATTTCAAAACATGTTTTTTTTTTATTTTAATGATGCATATAAATAATTTAAATGTTAATTTAATGAAATATTTCTATTTTTTCATTACCTCACCCTTGTTTTGACAAAAACGGGACCTTGCTGGATAATATCATGGAGAAACTATTTGTTCACAGTACATGGCTCAGTGAGGATCTGTGTAAAGGAGGAGATACTCAGAAATCTGTCTGCAGATTGTTACAACCCAGACTGGAAGTGGTGGGCTGTAATAAGAAAGGAGACCAAACAGAGGAGTGGGGGTTCAACAACTGATTTATTTAACAAAAGTAAGGATTTACTAAAGCAAGTTAGTGAACAGAAAATGGCCAGTGAGGACTCTCCACCACACAGGAGAGACCCAGTGAAAGCAGAAAAACAGTAGGCTTTGTAGGCAGCACCACACCCTGAGCCCAGGTGCCTCCAAGGCTGCTTAACCAGCTGCCTACAACAGAAGAAAAACACAATTAAACACAAATGAAAACCCAATGAGACGGTGGGGGCATCACAACACGTTCAGGACTACCCAAACACCAGTAATTCTTGACTGCACTGATCTGAGGTGTCAATGGCCATATTCCCCTCTCTTCCAGAGTCATATATTTTCCTCAAGTTCAACTGCACTCTGAAGAGGCTCATTTGGATTGTGCCACATAGGCCAGTGACCTTTGTCTCAGCACTGTATGCTGGAACTATCAGCGACCAACCTGGGAATCTGGTGCGATGAAAATGCTACAACTAGAGATGGTCATCTTGGTAGACAGGGGTTTCTTCATTGATGACATTGTGCCCTGCAAAGTGTACAGGCCAGCTTTCCTTTCTGGCAAACCTCAAATGTCTGCATGTAAAGTTATAGAAACAGAAGCCATAACATCTCTGAGTGCATGTGGAGCGCTCCATTCATCTGGTCGAAGAACACAAGCATTTTGATTGTTATTCCCCTCCTTGCATTTGTAAACAATCAGCTATATGCTGTGGTTTTTCTCCTTACCAACTTTTAAAATAGCCCACTAGTGAAAGCCTGGGCAAAGAAGCCTGATGTCTGAGAACCTCAACATATGTACGGCAACCACACTGTATATTTACACACTTTCATAAAGAAGCTGCATATCAAGCTTTCATTCAGATGACCTTCAACAGTGCTGCACCCTGCTGAGGGACATCCGAGTAAAACCTTGAGATGGCCATTTTCTGTTCACTAACTTGCTTTAGTAAATCCTTACTTTTGTTAAATAAATCAGTTGTTGAACCCCCACTGCTCTGTTTGGTCTCCTTTCTTATTACAGCCCACCACTTCCAGTCTGGGTTGTAACAATCTGCAGACAGATTTCTGAGTATCTCCTCCTTTACACAGATCCTCACTGAGCCATGTACTGTGAACAAATAGTTTCTCCGTGATATTATCCAGCAAGGTCCCGTTTTTGTCAAAACAAGGGTGAGGTAATGAAAAAATAGAAATATTTCATTAAATTAACATTTAAATTATTTATATGCATCATTAAAATAAAAAAAAAAACATGTTTTGAAATATATAAAGTGCACCAAACTTGACTCAGTCCATTCAACAATTCTAAATGGACAATTATGTAACTCATCAATTAATTATTTGAAAGGATAATTTGTCAATTAAATACTGAAAAAAATAAACAATTCATTAATGAGGCAAGAACTTTTCTCTCTCTGTCTCTCTCTCTCTCTCTCTCTCTCTCTCTGGAAGCCCCACTCTAAGGGAGTTTGCAGTGTATTAGTGAGTCATATATTGTACAACCACAGTCATAAAGTTTTCAATCAGTAGTTTTATTTCAGTATGTATTTTTCCAGTATCACAAAAAATGTAATTTTCTATGGTTAAAACCATCTAGCTTATGTGCACTTTTTAAAACACTGCCCAGCAAACATTCGGAAGTTTAATGACAGTTGAACGGTCACAACTGTAAAATACCTGAAATTAAGAAAAATTAACATGACATCCAATGCATTTTCCTTGCCCGGCCTCGAACCTGGATCCTCCGGGGCGAGAGTCACCCGCTCTTCCAACTGAGCTATGCCAGCAACTACTTTACCAGCAGACTTTTTTATATAGATAGGTAGAGGGTAAAGTGCGGGGTACACTAACCAATCAGAGGACAGAGAAGATCTGCCACAGGCCACGCCTCCAGAGTGCCAAAACCCTTACAGCCGAGCGAGCAGGAGTCAGAAACCGAGCGCGCAGAGACGCTGCCGAGCGCGCACAGAGGCTGCCGCGCGCGCACGTTTTCCTCTGCCGTGTTCTCGTTGACAACGCGCGCACGCAGGTTTGTCACTTGTGCACATCCTTGTGCGCTCACAGACACAGTTTGCTCCCTCTCAGTGCACAAATGACCTCTCGCCATGTATATTTCCGCTCGCGAGTCCCGTTCACACACGCGCTGCCATGTATATTTTCGCTCGCGAGTCCCGTTCACACGCGCGCTGTGGACCCAATGCGCGTGCACGGGTTGTGGCACGCTTTAAACGCCATATAAAACCGCTACTGCCTCAGCGCAGTGTCTTGGTAAGATTGACGTGGTTGTCGTGCCTCGCTGAGGTTTATTACTAACTCTAGACCACCGACCCATCATTGTGAGTTGTATTCTCCAGTGGGACAGCCCTCTTTGTCCACCAGGAGGTTGGGACATTGGTACACCTTCATTTATACCCTTCCACTGTGTTATCGGGTGACCACGCCAGGAAAGTTGACCATTGAGCAGAATTGATGGTTTATCTCTTGAGGTCCATGCAGCAGGGGTGAGGTTGTGCTCACTCCTCACTCCTGCCAAGTGGACCTCAAGGGATAATCTCACCTTCCTGATTAAGTAAAGAATAAATAAATAATAAAAACCGTGCTGGATGGCGGACCAGGGTTCCCTACCCCTGCTTTAGAACATCGGGAATAAGCAGCAGGAACATTTTCAGCTCATAAGATTAAAGGTTTTAGATCAAAGGGTGTTTTTAATCTAACTGACATTAAAATCTAGTTTGCTTTTTAACACACTTAAATCTGTCGTCTGATTGGTTCTCCACCCAGGATGAGGTCTACAGGTTCCTTACTGCTCCTGGCCTTTCTGCTGCTGCCGCTGCTGTCTGCGGCCGTGTTCCTGGACATCTGCACCGCCAAACCCAGGGGCCTCGCTCTAGAACCACGCTGCATCTACCGCAGCCCGGAACCGGAGAACGCCGAGGAGCTGACCCTCGATCCCGAAGAGCTGCCAGAGTTCACCAACCGCAGGGTGTGGGAGCTGTCGAGGGCCAACAGCCGCTTTGCCTTGTCTTTGTACAAGCGGCTGTCCCTGAGCAGAACCGGCGAGAGCAATGTCTTCATGTCTCCCATCAGCATCACCACCGCCTTTGCCATGACCAAACTGGGAGCCTGCAACCGGACGCTGGAGCAGATCATGAAGGTTTGCGTCCAGCGCGGGCTCAAACCCAGAGGGAAGAAGCTGGGCCTGAAATGGTCCAACAAAAGCAGGAAACATGAAACAGTAGCTGTAAAATGACGTGGGTTTGTTTGGAACACGGCGCTGACAGAGTAGCTAATCCCTGTCTCGTAACCAGAAGGTTGTGGAATTGAGTCTGTCACAGTCGTTGTGCCCTTGGGCAAGACTTAACCCCCCTTGCCTGCTAGTGGTGGTCGGAGGGACCGGTGGCGCCAGCATTCAGCAGCCTCGCCTCTTGTCAGTGCACCTCAGGGCAGCTGTGGCTGCACTGTAGCTCATCCCCACCAGCGTGTGAATGGGTGTGAATGGGTGAATGACTGATTGTATGGTGAAGAGCCTTGGGGGGTTGTATAACCCTAGAAGGAGCTGTACAAATACAGGCCATTTACCATGTTTCTTGGTTGTTTAAAGCCTGAAAACCCCAAACCTGATCAGCAGCGTCCCTCTCTGCTGTGCTTGAGTTCTGCCTCCTTCTGACATGCCTTTACTTTCGCAGGTGTTTGAATTCGACACCATCAAGGAGAAAACGTCGGATCAGGTCCATTTCTTCTTCGCCAAACTGAACTGTCGTCTGTACAGGAAGAAAGACAAAACCACGGAGCTTCGCATCGCTAACCGGCTGTTCGGAGACAAGTCGTTCTTCTTCAACGAGACGTACCAGAACATCAGCGAGACGGTGTACGGAGCCACGCTGCTGCCGCTCAACTTCAAGGTGTCAAACCCAGCATCACAGTTTCCTCTCAAACATTTCAGATTTCATGCAGCTGCTTCTCCGGTAATCTGATCAAACATGAAACAACAGAAACGGGTTTAAATGTTGGAGACGGCTGAATTCATCTGCAGTGTTTAACTAATGACCTCTGACCCCGCTTTAGATGGTCTTGTTGACAGAATTTCCACTCTTTACCAGTCGGACCAGTAACTCCGGTGTTCTGCGTTAGGTGGACCCAGAACAGGCTCGGATCACCATTAATGAGTGGGTCTCTAATAAGACGGAGAACCGAATCCAGGAGACGTTGCCTTCAGGGGCCTTGGACTCCACTACCATTCTAGTTCTGGTCAACACCATCTACTTCAAGGTATCGAAGCTGAAGTTCAGTGGAGAGTTTTAGTCCAGAACCACGAGGTTCCTTATGGAAAGATTCTGAAATCAAAAGCAGGACATTGTCTGCATATAAAGATGCTCTGACCCTACTGGTGCCCCTCCCCGGTCCTCGAGGACCGGGCTGGGGCACCTCTGGACGTGGACTGATGCCCACTGGCTGAGCTTTTATTTCCCGTGTCTCAGGGTCAGTGGAAGAACACGTTTCCCAAAGAGCAGGTTCTCCCCTCGGACTTCAGAGTCAACGCCAACCGTAGCTGCCAGGTCAACATGATGTACCAGGAGATGAAGTTCCAGTACAGGTACTTCCCCGACGACCAGGTGCAGCTCCTAGAGATGCCGTACCGAGGAGACGACATCACCATGGTGATCATCCTGCCGAGCAGAAACATCCAGCTCTCCCAGGTAAAGGTCCTGGTTCCCAACGAGGAAAAGGAGTGGTGGCAAAATAAACACAAATAAAAAAACATACATTTAAAATGTATTTATGATGAACGGGACTGGAATAAACGAATAAATGATTTTGTTTGGCGGTAAGATTTCAGGATTTCAGATTCTATTAACAAAAAATGTGAGTTTGGTTCGTGTTTGACACGCAAGCAGGTGACGAGATTTAAACGTTGTACATGGTTTATCCTTTTTGTGTGGTTTTATTATTTGGAGCTGTAAAACAAACATTTTAAAATCCATAAACAGTAAAAGTAAAAAAGAAAATATAAACAAATAAAGGAAAAACGTCTGATCCCAAAGGGAAGAGCCCACGCTCACTCGTTCCCGCCCCCTCACCACTCCACCAATCTCCCTAAAATAAACCAGGATCATTACACACATCCTGGGAATGCAGCAGCTCAGGAATGTCAGCTTGTCCAGTAATCAGAAGGTTGCAGGTTCGATCCCGACTCACACCAGAGAATGCTGCTCTTGTGCCTTTGGGCAAGACACGTAACCCCCCCTTGCCTGCTGGTGGTGGTCGGAGGGACCGATGGCGCCTGTCGGTGCGCCCCAGGGCAGCTGTGGCTACATCGTAGCTCATCACCATCAGCGTGTGAATGTGTGGATGACTGATGGTGAAGCGCCTTGGGGGGCTGGAGAACCCTGAGGAGTTATACAAACAGAATATTTACATCTAAAAGAAAGAAAACAATCGTTTATGACGCCTCTCAAGATAAAAATACTGACGCTAACAATTCCTATAATAAATATATTACTACTTTAATAAACACACGAGTATTTTCTGTAATTATAATAATAATAACAGCAGAAATGATAAAGACAACATTTATGTTTGCTAAATATCTCTTTGTGGGATTTCAGTAAAAAATTTTTTATAAATGTTTATAAAATAAATTTAAGATATTTTTCTAAAATAATTCATTACATTCTTAATTATTATGTAAAATAATAATGTAGTTTTTAAATATTTTTGACCATCTTTCGTTTAACGAAGTTTAATGAAGAACCAAGGAGGCTTCAGTGATGGTTTTATTTTCTGCGAACAGATTTTTATCTCGTGTGCATCCGGACGGTTGAAGCTCCTCCTGTCGGTAGACTCCCCCAGGTGAGCTCTGTGTGCGTTCTGTGTCCAGGTGGAGGAACGTCTGAACCTGAAGAAGCTGAACAGCTGGTTGAGTCAGCTGACGGAAACCACGGTCTCCGTCTCCGTCCCTCGTTTCAGGTTGGAGGACGGCTTCAGTCTGAAGGACAAGCTGCAGCAGATGGGTCTGACCGACCTGTTCAACCCCGACACGGCCAGCCTGCCAGGTGCGTCCACCTGAACCGCGGGCTGAGTCCAGAGTTAGCTCCGTCACCCACAAGTTCTGTGGGTTCATTTAAAATCTGGCACCACGTCGGGTCGTTGTTGCTCTAAAACATAAGTTAATCGAGATCTCCTCCTGAAAGGTTAAAGGTCAAATCTGGAAACTGGTCCTGAGCATAAATAATAAAGCAGCTGGAGCAGAGGGTTCTGTTATCCAGGACCAGAAATACTCATAAAGAGGAATTCATCTTTGAGCCTATCTGCTCATCTGAGGAGTTGGTCTGATCTCCGGACAGTTTCACATCTTCAGGACCAGAACAGCTGTCGTACGGACCGGGCCAACCGAGCTCCTCGCTCACAGGGCAGGTTTACAAAAACCTTCTTCCTAGGAGACCAGATGGGATCCTAAAACGGTCCGTTTGACACCGTCAGATGTACTAAACAGTATTTTTAGCTGCAGTTGTGAGACTTCTTGCAGTTGGTAGGCTCAGGGTTGCAGGTTTGAATCCAGGCTGTGTTAGCAAGTTCTCCCCATGCAAGCATGCGGATGGAACTGGGACTTCACCAACGCTCCTGTGTGGGTTTGTTTCAGGGATCCTGGAGGACGGCAGCGAGGTCCTCTTCATCTCCGACGCCTACCACAAAGCCTTCCTGGAGGTCAGTCAGAGACACGAACACCAGATGGTCCGTGAACGTTTCTGGTTAAACGGAGACTCGGCTGCTTTTTCCCAGAACTAAAATGTTTGACCTGTCGGGGGTTTGTGGAACAGAGCCCAAAACTCATGGAGCCACTTTGGTTTTCTTATTGAAACCAAAATGGAAACATGACTTTTCTCACCTACATGTGAACTGTTTGACCAGAAGATCCATGGTCCTCGAAGGCCAGAACATGACATCTAGAATAATGGTACACAACCCTGGTCCTCCAGGGCCACCATCCAGCATGTTGTAGAGCTTCCTCAGCACACTCTGCACAGTTTGAGGTGGATGGGGCCTTCCAGGACCAGGGTTGGAGACCCCATGAAGGACGATGGACCTGGAGGTTCTTTGTTTGGGATCTGGACCTCTCTTTGGGTCACAAAACACCCATTTGACCTAAAACAATTTATAAAATCACAAAACAGAACAGCTAAGAGTCTGGATACCCGTTGATCCAGAACCAGTCTAGGGGGGTCACAGGAGATACTACAGGAAGTTAAACATCTGCCGTTTCCAGGTGAACGAGGAGGGGAGCGAGGCTGCAGCATCCACGGCCGTGGTGGCCGTCGGCCGATCCCTGAACATGAATCGAGAGGTTTTCCTGGCCGACCGACCCTTCCTGGTGCTCATCAGGGAGTCCACTCTCAACACGCTGCTGTTCGTGGGCCGCGTGTCCAACCCCTGTGACCAGTGAACCCCCCGGCACTGTCAGCACCACCCAAAACACCGATGTGTGTGGATGTTTAACATAGAAGTCAGTAAAATCCAGACTCACTGCAACAGCAGAGGTGGTTTCTGACGGATTATCATCGTCGTTAGGTTATCTTTGATATGTTTGTGTAGATTAAAGCAGCTCATCTCGCCATCTACGAGGATAGATGACATCTTTATAATAAAGCCATTCTCTTTTGAGTTTATTCCTCGTGTTTCATTAAAGCATCACATGAATCCAACTGAAAAGTCCGAGCTAAAAATGTAGATATTTCTTGAAAAAGTTAGTAGAATACATTGTTATTACACTATCATCTAGTTTATAACCTATACCACCCAAACACCTTAGCGTGATTAACTCTGGGAGCATAATGACACCAATAAAACAACAGGCATCAGAACTATTTAATTCATGATGAAACCGTTTATAAAACACACCAAATCAACCATCTCACCATTGTTTAGGTGTTATAACTGTGTATTAGCAGAAAGGCATAAAAGCTTTCATTGTTTTGAAGGTCTCGTTCCCATAGAAACAGTCATCTTCTTTCTACAACACAACGGGTCACTCTGAGCTTCACATGCATGCTGAACACGTTGGGCTCTTCTGTCACAGAGGAAATTGGTATTTATAGTCCCACCCACTTTAGTTTGGGACCGCCCACAGGAAGTAGGAGCTAACCTTTAGCAACATGGTGGACCATGTTTGGGCTTTAATTGGAGACAAAACACCCACGTTGCCTTTTTTACCCAAGAAAATGTTTTTATACAATTCTGAGTTTCGTTAACGGAGGCAGCGTGAGAGAGGTGTGGCTGTTAGCCAATCAGAGGTGAGAGATTTGAATCATATTAGTGTTAATGAGAACGGCTAAAAGTTCTTTTTCATGTGACATCAAGGTTTGACAAAAAATCTGGTGCAAGAGTGATGGAGGAGTTAAACACCTACCCTTTAACCGGAGGGTTGCAGGTTCGAGTCCCTCACACAGTTGTTGTGTCCTTGGACGAGACATGTCATCCGCCTTACCTGCTGGTGATGGTCGGAGGGAACAGTGGCGCCATTGTTCGGCAGGCTCGCCTCCATCAGTGCGCTCCAGGTCAGCTGTGGCTATGATGTGTGAGTGAATGGATGAACGTTTGACTGTGTAAAGCGTTTTGGAGACCTCTAAAAAAGCTTTATTCAAGTGCAGGTCCTTATTTACCAAAACAAACTGAACTCAAATGGTTTTCATGGTTTGTATTTTCATCCCAAATGAATCTGTTGGGGGGGGGGGGGGGGGGGGGGGGTTAAAGTGCTCATCAGTCTCAAAAACATGGGGTGTTTCTCAATGCCAAGGAGCCTTGCCTTGATATCTTGGCCCCACCCCGGTTGCCTAGGAGATGTGTCATCAGGAACCACCAAGACGTGTTCCAGTGTTCATGTTCTACCGAGGCGTGTGTTCTCCGTTTGTTAGCCGTTTAGCTAGCTGAGCGAGGATACATGGGAGGTGTCTTGTAGCCTAGCCTTGGTCAAAAATTACCCACAACACACCACGGTATTTTCAAAAGGACGGCGGGTCAGAAGCCGGCAGCTACTTCGGGGTAAATTTCAAGTTTAAAAGTCAGCAAATTTAAAATGTTTTTTTTAGATCCAAAGAAGTTATCTATGGTTGGCTAGTTGCTTAGTAGTTGCAGCTTCGGTGGCTAGCGGGTAGTAACTCACTTATATTTTTAATTTAATATTATTATAATAATTTAATAAACATATACACCATTTAAAAAGTAAAAGTCTCGTTTTATATTGAAACTAACACGTATAAAATATAACGTTATCTCACGTGTCACGTGATGTTGCGTGACCGCCGTGAAAGCGTGATGCAAGTCTGTTCCATTTAACCGTTTTCTTTGACCAAGGAAGGACAGCGTCCTCGTAAGCAAGGCGCCTGGCCTCGCAAGACATCGCCTTGCAAGGCTCGGCGCCTTGACGTTGAGAAACACCCAAGTTCTTCATGTTCCTAAACAAAGATGTGAAACTAGCAGGCACCACAGCGCCCCCTAAAGGCCACCTCCTCTGACTGGCTACCTCTACGGTGCTGAAAATCGGACCAGTCCTAGAAAGGATCAGGCCCTAAAGACCAACATGAAGTTGTTTAAAAACCACAACTAAACATTTATCTTTTCAACTTTGTAAATAAAAATAGTGACAACTGGTTCTGATTTACCTGTTTCAGGTGCAAGGTGTAATCTCACAAAGACCGATGGGACCTTAATTCCTTTACTTGTCCTTAAAATCAAGAGGATTTTCCTGACCTGGACACATTCACTTTAACTGGATTTAAATCTTATGTCCAACATTCAGTCTGATGCGAGGAAAGAAGGAGGAGTCGCTGCTGCTCAACACTTAAAGTGCTTTATTTCCTCAGAAGGAGAAACAACCTGCGAGTGATCTAGTGGTCATAGTGAAAGAAGCATCTTCACATTTTCTAAACTAGCCAACCTTTGGCCTTTCACACTCTCTCTCTCTTACACACACACACACACACACACAGGCGTGCGCGCACACACACCAACATGAGTTAGCAACAGACACATGCAACATAAAAGATCTTCACACAAAACCTTTCAGGTTCATCTTAAGAGCTCGTTAGGTACCTCCCTTAAAAATGTACAATATTAAAAGATCTTTTAGTAAATTCATTTTTTTCTTTCTATTTCCTGCTTCAATATATTAGGATATACTTTAAGTAATCAACAGTACAGAGTAATCTCATCGAGCGATTATGTTTAAATGATTTCATTTATAATTAGGCATATTGTGGTCAAAGTTACTGGAGATTATAATCATCAATAAATTCACAGAGTAAAGAAAACAAAAGCAAGTAGTTTCAGATTAAAGCAATAAACACAAATCAGCTGGCCTGTTAAAGCAAACACGTTGATCATCAGAAACAAAGCAGAGCATCAAAGAAACTCGGACAGTGAAGCCCAGATCATCTTCATCATGCTGATGATGAAGAGGTTTGGCTGTTTTTCACAGTATGGAAATAAAAGTGAAACCTGCTAGAGGAGGAGGTCGGATTGTGATAAGCGAGAACTCACGTTTGTCCTGAAACATCAACAATCAAAGCTTTCATAAAAATCAGAAACGCATCACATGAAGCCTAAAAAATTCTGCTGTTTGGCACTTTAAGGTACCGGCGACGGCACTGGAGCCCCCCAAACGTCTGAGACGTGTTTGTTGTTTTCTGGTTGCTGAACGGGCTTTTAGGTTGATCCAGTATCTCACCGGGTTCGAGACGGGTTTGAGACAAAATGCTGCTGGGAATTTTATCATTTTCTTAAATTTCACATTTGCTACATTGTTGTCCAAACTGATAATAGTTTCAAAAACATGTACACAGATTTTCTTCTTGCATTTTAATCACAAATCGTCAAATATATTTGCATCTTCTTCTGATTTTGTTTGTAAGTTAGTCTCCATCTCCTCCCAAAGTTGTCTCAATTCTCAAACTTACTGGAAAAGATGGTTCTGACACGCAGGAGGACTTTCCAATGATTATTCCAGTTTGTAAAACGTATTAAAATTTTCAGTGAGCCAAGAGCAAGACCCTGAGGTCCCTCATAACAAATGCTATGAGACCTTTTGGAAACTCCCATCATCAACGCTGTCATGATCTGTGACGCCCTCTAGGGGGCTCTCCCCCGGAAAGCTCAGTCTCCACTGTTACTAGACAAACATACGTTGACCTTCTTGACCTCCCTTTTCTCATTCTAGAGCTCAGAATAATTAGAACTAAATAACAATAAGCCCGTATTTTGGAATTCCACTTTGGATGCCAACAAAACTGTTGTTTATGAGGAGTAAACGACCAATAAGGGCAAGTTTTACAAGTTTAAAGATAAACAAATCTGAATCCCTGGGTTCCATCACGGCTCAACAAAAAGGTTGAAGAAAATAAAAGGCAGAAGTAAAGAAAAAGAATCACGGTAAAAGCTACCGGCCGATGAGAACATCTCTGATTCGACCCCCATGCCCCAGGATCCTCTTAGCAGGACCGGACTGGACCTGCTCTGCAGCAGTTAGTTTAGGACGCTAACTGGCTTAAGTTCATGTGTTTCTACCTGACATGTCTTCACTACTCCTTGGTAAAGTACCACTTATTAGGTCTAATGTAAAAACAAACCAAAACAATAATAATAAAAAAGGAGGAAGTCGGGGTCGGGTGCAGTGTGTGACGGGTGGTAGTCGAGGGCGGGGCCCTTGGCGGTCTGATCCTCAGCTACAGAAGCTGGCTCTTGGCACATGGATTGTCACCTCTCTGGTGGGGAAGGAGCTTGAGTTGGTGTGTGAAGTTGCGAGGTTCCAACTAGTTATAGTCGGACTCACCTCAACGCATGGCTCTGGCTCTGGAACCCGTTTCCATTGAGAGGGGTTGGACTTTCTACCATTCTGGAGTTGCTTCCACTGAAAGGCGCCGAGCAGGGGTGGGCATACTAGTTGCCCCCCATCTTGGTGCCTGTATGTTGGGGTTTACCCCAGTGAATGAGAGGATACCCTCCCTCCGCCTACATGTGGGGGGATGGGTTCTGACTGTGGTCTGTGCTTTTGCACCAAACTACAGTTCAGACTACCCACCCTTTTTGGAGACCTTGGAGGGGGTGCTGGAAAGCGCTCCTTCCGGTGACTCCCTCGTTCTGCTGGGGGACTTTAACGCTCACGTGGGCAACGACAGTGAGACCTGGAGAGGTGTGGTTCGGAGGAACAGCCCCCTGATCTGAATTTGAGTGGTGTTTTGTTATTGGACTTCTGTGCCAGTCATGGATTGTCCATAATGAACACCATGTTCAGACATAAAGGTGTCCATATGTGCTCTTGGCTCCAGGATACCTTAGGCCACAGCTCGATGATCGACTTTGTTGTAGTTTCATCTGACCTGCGGCCGCATGTCTTGGACACTCGGGTGAAGAGAGGGGCGGAGCTGTTAACTGACCACTACCTGGTGGTGAGCTGGCTCAGATGGTGGAGGAGGATGCCGGTCAGACCAGGCGGGCCCTGGTCAGAGCTTGGTCCGCATTGCCGGCAGTTAGTCGGGCTTGTTCCCAGTGAGAGTTGGACTCTGGCAAGGCTGCCTTTTGTCACGATTCTGTTCAAAACCTTTATGGACAGGATTTCTAGGTGCAGCCAAGGTGTGGAGGGCATCCGTTTTGGTGGCCTGAGGATCAGGTCTCTGCTTTTTGCAGATGATGTGGTCCTGTTGGCTTCATCAGAACGTGATCTTCAGCTTTCGCTGGAGCGGTTCGCAGCCGAGTGTGAAGCAGCTGGGATGAGAATCAGCTCCTCTAAATCTCCTAAAACGCCTTGGGATTCACCCGAAGGAGCTGGCCCAAGTGGCTGGGGAGAGGGAAGTCTGGGCCTCTCGCCTTTGGCTGCTGCCCCCGCGACCCGACTCCGGATAAGCGGATGAAAATGGATGGATGGAAGGAAATGTGGGGAACAAAGTCGATATGGCCATACTTTTTCTGGTAGTTTTTTGAAAGCAGCTAGTTTTAGAAGAATCCTATAAGGTAGGTAGATCAGATCATTTTCTCTGAAACTCATGCTACTTTTAAATGCTCAAGATGAGTTGAGATACTCTTGTATGTTTGAGGCTCTTATTGTGGTAGCCTAAAGAAAGCCGCTTGTATTCAAAGTGTCTTGTGTTTTAATATTTTACTCAGCGAAAAAACAACCAGAACCCCCGGTTACAAAAAAAAGTGTTCTGGTCCTTGAGTCATCTAGAAATCTGGTCCTCGAGTCATCTAGAAATAACATAATTTAAATTATTTGGCAAACTAATATTCCTGATTTTTCCAAGCATTTTGAGATTTTTTAATCTTGTTTTTTTCCTCCTTATTTTATTTATATTTTATTTTTACAGTATTCCTAATGTTCTCTTGTAGACTGGAGACAAATCCCAAACACCTGAAACCAGAACATAAAATGATCCGAGCGTCTGGGACACTGTTTTCTTCTTACAAACAACCAATAATCAAAGCTGTTCATCACTTTGTTCCTGTAGTTTCTTAACAGTGCTTGCATATCGAGAGGTGGACAACATGTCCAACTTTTTAACATTTATTCATTGATTTTGCTTAAAATATTTTAAAAGACCAAAAAAATAAATAAATTAAAAAAAAATCCATCAGTAATAAACTATGCTAAGCTAACTAGCTAACAAAGCTTATGTTAGCATGACAGGCTAACAATCCAAGGAAAAACTTAAGTGAGGTATTCTGTTATACAAACATTTCAGACCTTTGTATCATTGGGAAAAGCCTAACCCTTCACTAACACGACACAAACATACCAGAAACTCTCAAACTACATTTTAGCTTCAGCTCTGGCTAATGTGACCAGTTATGTTTTTACATATCTCGAGGACACAAATCCTACTTGTTTTGATGTATTAAAAAAATAAATAACTTCATTGCATTTTTAACAGTAATTAAAAGTTTTTGATGTCGCAGATTCAAGTCCTGTTTGGTTAAAATAATATTAACGGAACAAGCTAATGCTAACTAGCTAAGAATTAGCATCTGGAGAATTTCGCTCTCACTCTGAGCTGAGCATTCGTACCATTCAGAGAAAGCAAATTGAAAATTAAGTTGATTTTTAAACACAAAAAAAAAGAGAAATACTATTTTACAAAAATATATAAAAAGGGAGTAATTTTCAGATTAGCGAGATAACATAAACCAGTTTCGACTGTATTTATTCTGTTTATTATTATATTAACAGGGGATTGTGGGTTCATTTTACTGAATAAACGGACACATTTTATTTATATGTGATGCTATCTTTAGGCTGCTTATAGCAGCATCTATAAGAGATCAGATTTTGTATATTTGGGGAAATTCTTGCATTTGCTCCGCCCCTACCATTTGTTAAAGAGCAGTATACTTAACTTCCTTTAATCCTTCACAGTAAGAGTCTCAAACACACACATGTACCTCAAATATCTGAAAAATGTAATACAGTTTTATTCATATTGTTTTATAAATCTCAGAACAGGATTTAATAAACTATTAGGAAAATATTAAACCAAATAAATGAGGTCAGCTTTAAGAGCACAGAGTTTGGATTTCTCTTGTTTGTCTAGAAATAAACTATTTTCAACTTTATTCACATTTAATATTTCCGATTTCTTTCCTGTATATTTTAACTTTACCCCAAACTAAATGCTTGTTTTTGATATTTCAAGGACGTGGCACTAATGCTCGCTGGTTGATTTAGGACCGTTTTGATTGAAGTTTCTTTTTTGTGTTTATAAAAGAACGTTTGAGAATTCCAGATATGGTCAGAATCTTGTTTAGTTTGGCCAAAAATCATTTGACTTGTTTTTTATAGTTGAGCCTGATAAATGCGCGTGTGTGTTAAAACACACCCTAAAGCCTAAGGTCCGACCCACCAGCACCCCCCCAGGCCGGCTGTCGCCCTCGCGCCGGCGGGGTAGGAACGGTGCTGGTGTGTATTGGTGACTGTACCGCCCCGGGACCGGACCTCGAACTTCAAGGTCGTTTTTTAAAATGGCCCCTGCCCTAAGCCCATCAGAACCGCTGAAGTAAAAGTGAAACCTGCTCTCCCTGGGGGCTGCAGGACACAGACGAGGTTTTCTGGTTTTAATAATCCTAAACCCTTTGTTCCGTATTGCCCAGCCCTGGTTTTGCTTCCGCCTGTAATCTCGTACAGGGGGTGGATTTGACCTGCTGCTAGCGTGTGTGTTGACAGGTTATTTTATTTTTGCAGTGTGCAAACTGCACTGAGGTTTAGCCGTTAACGCTCTGCTACAAAAGGAAACGTCCACTTAATGAAAAAGGAGAAAGTCTTTATACCTGATAGATCCTGGGTAAGCCTGAAGAGTGTCAGCGCGGCGGCGGCTCTCGCTGTGGGAGGAGTCACTCGGCGGAAGGGCGGAGCCGCTGGCTTCACTTGCATAAAAACATTTTCTGTCCACTGAGAATCTGATTCACAGTTCTGTAGAAAACAGTAACAGTGGGTCCGTGTGCTACCTCCCAAATCTCCGCTCGTCTGGACTCGGCTCCGAACATCATTTATAAGTAAAAAAAACAAACAAGTATCTTAGTAGTTTAAATACATTTGTCAAATATGTGTAGATTTCTTCTTGTTCTGCTTTATAAAAACTGGTTTGTCCGGGACTCTCTCGCCGACGTAATTTTTGGCGTTTCTGAGAACCTAAATGGCGCCGCTGTCCTTTGGTTGCCAGTGAGTCTGACCTGTGCCCTCCTTCTGGAAGGTGAACCTCTGGATTGTAATCCTAATCCAGCTCCACGGTCCGGCTACTACATCCATCACGTCTGACAGGGCTCCGTGTCCTTTTTGCTCAACACGAACCCAGCCATCAGCGATGTGTTGCTTCTTCTGCACTCACGTTAAAATCTCAGTTTCACCTTTGTCTAATAATTCAGATTGACCCTAGAGACTGGATAAGTCTGGGCTTAAAGTAATAAAAACATGATTACGTCTGTTTATGGCTTTAATATGAACTAACAGTATTAATATTATATTGAAATTATATTTTCTGATCATTGTTGAGAAATATAAAACGTTAATAAATGATCAAACCTAAGTTCAAACTGCGAGTAAGCAGGTTAGCGCAGTAAGCAACGCGTAGCCGCTAACTATATAGCGACTTTCAACTAGCCAAAGGTGATTTTTGTCCAAATTATTTGTTAGCAAGAAGTTAAATAATAAAGGAACCAGTGTGATATGTGAATCGGCCTAACCCTAACCCAGAGCTGTAGGAATAAATATCACATTTAAGTACTGGTTGTCTGAACGACTGGTTCAACCACTAACCAGGCCTAACCAACCTACAGAACTGAACACCAACTGTAGCCCCACCTGATTTAAAGTTGTGGCTCGTGGCTTTTGGTAGGCGAAACGAGAGGTTCTGATCTATCTGAGATTTGAAGTTGGGTGCAGCAGACGCAACACGTCCCCAAAAAGTCCGATCGGGTCGTTCCGAACAAGCTTTCACACATTGTCAGAGCACTAAAGTGTACAGTAAACACAAACCAAACAGACTAGCTGGTTTGCAAGGAAAACAGAAACATCTGAGAAGACTGATGGAGATCTCTGTGTGGGTGGAGCACCCCCAGAGCGCCCCCCGGTGGTGCGGAGAATGCAGCAGCTGTATTGCGTAGTGATGAGAGGTAACTGAGCTGTGTAGCTTATCTGAGACTGGACGCCGTCCAGTTTTCCTACGATGAGTTTGTTCAGCCAGAGGGTTTGACAATAATCTACCGGATCCTTAAAGGTTTCACTGCCACAAGGATCCAGCGCTAATCTGAGAAGGTTCGATAGTTTACAGCCAGATTAATAAGCCAGTGTGATCAGAGTTCTTCATCGGCGACGAGGTCTTCAAATATTCTGGCTAAAAATAATCCAAATTACATGTCTGGTTTCAAACGAGCGTGTTTGTATTTAGTCCACACCCAACACCACCAAGACGTCCTAAAAATGCAGTAAAATCATTTTAGGTGTTTAATTAAAAACATCTGATGAAAAACGACGTAATTTCAAGTTAAAGTAACGTTCAACAAAAAATGATTCATAGACACACTTTGTTAAAAATACTTTTGGTCCTACTTAGTACTATTATTACTCTGTACTCGCAGTGATGCTGAGATTTGCAGAAGCGCTACTCGATGTTTAGTAGAGATGCGACAGTTCGTCCAAGTCACGGTTCAGCCTGGGAAAAAAGCGTCGCCCTAAACGAAACACTCTTCTCATCGAAGCACAGAAAACAGACCGGATGACCAAAGAAAACCTCATTTAGCATCATGTGAAGGAACAGGCAGCCGAAAGCACACGGCTCCTCGTTGCTGCAGCAGATCACCTGGAAACGTTGTATACACCGCACTAGGGATGTCCCGATACAACGTTTTCACTTCCGATACGATTCCGACATTGCAGCCTTCAGTACTGACCGATACCGATATCAATCTGATACGATATCAGCACGCATCACACATACTTTTACCTATTTCGTAGTGTGGAACTTATGAAAGGTTTGATGAAGTGATATTACTCAATTGGAGAACAAGAGCCAATGACAGTAAGTATGAAAAAAAGACTATTTTTTCTTAACCATTGGTTGCAAATACGTAACCCTTAATGGACTGCTCATATCGGACATTTTTGATGTCGTCCGATATGATCCGATACTCTGTTTTTGGGCTGATATCGAATTACTTCCGATATCGATATCGGAACGGGACATCCCTACTCCGAACCATGACGGGACGAAGGCGTTAACCCTCTACAGTAAGTTAGCGCTAGAGCTTAACGATCTGCCGCTAATCAAGTTTAGGTTTCTAATTCACCCTTCCATCAAAGACCTGCAGTCAACATCTTCAGAGTAAATTTAGGAAACACGACACCGAAACAGGTAAAAACATACAAACGTCTAACCGCGACATCCGAACGACGAGGACTTGGGTTTTCCCGGCGGCGTGCACGAGGGGTGGGTCGTGAAAAACAGCACGAGTTTGAAATGTGATCAAAAGAGACTCCAATCACACTGGACTTTAGCGTCTCGCTCTCCACGGCTCAGTCTTCACCGTGTGGCACTTGGCGAGCACGAGGGTGATAAATATTAACCTGACTGCTCCGGATTGTCTCAAGGCAAAAACAAAGGACTGGAACCGTAAAACTGGCACTGAGTATTTTGGCAGGCTGTCTGTCGTGGTGCTGCATGGTGAACCGGTGAATATAAAGGTAGAAAACTAACGTAAATCAACGGAGGCAAACGAGGACCACTGAACGCTGTGGCGTATGAGGTTGTTGGAGTGTGTGGCGTTTCTTCATTAGCTTAATCTGTTCTGATTGGTTAGTGAAGGTAGATGCGGTTTAAAGCAGAGAAATCTCAGTTCAGACTCCGAGGTGTCTGTTGGCTCCTGTCAGGTACAACAAGATCAGACTGGCCTAGTCCCGCCCACTTCCTGTTGCTGAGGTCAGTCGGGCCCTGTGGTGGACACCGAGGTTTGAGGGCCCTCTCCGTACTGCCCCCCGCCATTACCACTCCCGCCGCCTTCTGGCTCCTCTTGGCTTGGTGAGGCCTCATCGCTCGGGCCTCCTCTGGACGTTACAGAGGTGGTGGTGGTCTCGGGGGAAGCGCTGTGGGCCTCCTGGGGGGCGCAGCCTGGGTGGTTCTTGCGGAAGTGTTGGTTTAAGATGGCCTGGAAGGGGAAGCTCTTCCCGCAGACGTGGCAGTGGAAGGGCTTGTTGCCGGTGTGCTTGCGGATGTGGTACTCCAGCTGGTCTTTGCGTGTGTACTTTTTCCCACAGATGCGGCAAACAAATGGCGTTATTCCCATGTGCAGACGCATGTGGCGGTCCAGGCTGCCTTTCTGATTGAAGGACTTGCAGCAGTAGATGCAGGTGAGCCGGGGATTGTAGCGGAACCAGCGGTCTCCCACCTGCTCCCTCAGGTAGTCCTCATACCCGCCCATATCAAACGCTGCATGCTCCTCCCCCTGGCAGGTAGAATAAACAGTTACAGCAACTTAAAATCAGAAGAAACAGGAACAAACTAGGGAGCTTCTAAGACTTTTTCAAGTATAGTCACAACTGGAATCCCTTTGGTGTCTACAGAGGTGTGTCTTAGGAACAATTACCTCTAAAGAAAAGCATGGAGAGTGAACATAAACGGCCATTCGACAGCAAGATCCAAGGAGGAATCGGGAAATGCGACATAAGTAGACACTAAATTTGGGATTTACTAGTAGTGTTCTAATCCGTTGGTTACGGATCATTTTTGGTCGATTTCCACGAAAAGTTTGTCATCTGCATATTGTGATCAATTCAATTTCATTTATAAAGCATCTTCCACAACCTTATTGGGAGACCAAGGTGCTGAACAGCGTCATTAAAGACTTGATAAGAACAACATTAATTTCACAAGATCAGAAAACAGTAAAAAAAACAACATCAGATCAGAGCGATCATGATTAGAGCTCGTTAACCGGTCACTGTTCATCGTTTGTGAATGTTGTAACGAGCGTGGGGTCTGCGTCAGAATTATGTTGAGAGTTGGTAAAAGTGAAATCCTTCCTTCAGGAGGAAAGGACCACCATAAATCTGGTCTTGTGGTAAGTAGCAGCTACGCTAGGGGGAGGAGATTATGTGGTGACGTCACAAATGCGACGTACCGACGTCTGATTTGTAGTCATGCTAATTACGAACTTTTACAAGCTGATAAATCTCAAAGTACGTGGCTGGCGTGGTCGAAACACCCATCATTACTTTCCATTTAAATTGCAGTACAACACGTGTGTGATCAGGGCGTCGGGGCAGCAGTAACTCAACAGGTTGAGCGGATTGTCCAGTAATCGGAAGGTTGCAGGTTCGATCCCGGCTCCGGACAGAGAATTCTGCTGTTGTGTCCTTGGGCAAGACACTTAACCCACCTTGCCTGCTGGTGGTGGTCGGAGGGATCGGTGGCGCCTCTGTCAGTGCGCCCCAGGGCAGCTGTGGCTACATCGTAGCTCATCCCCACCAGTGTGTGAATGTGTGTGTGAATGGATGAATGATACACTGTAGTGTAAAGTGCTTTGGAGTTCTTCCTCTGAGAGGCGCTATACAAGTGCGGGTCATTTATCAGTAAGGCAAAGCGGGTTAGAAAATAGCGATTTTAGCCCCGCTGACTTGCATTCATTTTTTCGTTCTTCCAGGAACCCGTGAGCCCACCAGGAGGAGAAGAGACTTCCTGTTGTCCATTCCGCATGTGATTTTCTCAGGATCCCATTGGTTCCACCCCCGAATGACACCTCTGAGCCAATAGAATGCTTGCTGGTGTGGTTATTCGGCTGGCTTTAATGAACCAATCACAGGAGAGGAATGGCTGTTAACTAGGAAATGATGGAACTTTGCGTCAGAGAGGTGTCGAGTTTCTCCAGCAGGTAAAAACAGCTCCATGAGTTTGGAAAGTACAGTAATGACACATATTGTTGGAAAGAGGAGAGTCTGGGCTTCGAGTTAAATGGCTTCTGCTGTGGATAAGATCATATTGCATCGTTACTACAGGGCATTTCTCTCCAGCTGTGTAGTTCGTGTGTTTTTGGTTTTTACGGCCGTTTCGCTTCGTGGCTAATGGTTGCTTACTGTTAAAGGAGAAAATGGGAATTCTGTCCTTTAGATGAGCCTCTTCCCATTACGTACGTGTGCAGTTTGCATATATTGGTGAACATTAAGAATGTTTTTGGTACGATTTTGTTACCAGTGGTGCGAGGTTACCCGGTACCCTCGGGTTCGAGGAGTTAAAGACATGAAGAGACGGTGCCTGCTGACTGATTAATGGCTACTCGTTTCGCAGAGTTGGAGCCAAAACCGAGAATGCAAGATCAACACCTGGTGAAGGGAGTTTCTCCCCCTTCCTCCGCACTGTGCAGGCAAACATAAGCATGTCTGCCTTGTGGAACTCCGTCTACAGGAGCGATGTCAAGTTTTTCAAGTCTCACTGCAGAAATAAAGACGCTCGGAGCAGCAAGTCCCTGTGTTTTGTTTTTTTCACTTGAAAAGTTAAAGGGCCTGTACGTACTATTTTACAGCGCCAAGAGCAGCAACAGCAGCCTGACACATTTTACTGGCAAGCAAGTCGTCATAAAACAGAGAAACCAGCAAAGACTAAACACGGTAAAGGCAGAAACGCTTCAAAGTCTGGGACCAATCCACACCAGGTCAGCTAACGCTAAAGCTAGCAGGTGGAGGCCAGAAAAAAAACCACGTTGATGCTGAAAACAAGAATCAATGAAATGTTTAAAAATAAAAGTCTCCACCATCCCGTTTATTCGTAGATGCCGGCAGCGGAATGGGGCTGACCCTCAGCTACCTGAGAATGTAGGGACCTAAAGGCTCATTTACGCCCAGCAACTTCCCAAAAGTGCAGCAGTGTGTTTTCATGGCGTTAATCCTGGCAGTGGAGATGAACGTCGTATTTGACATCAAACAGCGAAATTAGGGATGTGTATTGGTGGAATTCTGGCGATACAATACGTATTACGATACAGGGGAGACGATACAATGTATCACAATATATTGCGATACATTCAGTCAGACGATATTGGCGATTTTTTAGACTAAATTATAGGAAAATTCAATAAACAGTCCAAACTGATACTTAACATGTTTAACCGTAACAGAGGGATTTACATTTCAATGGTAGAAACCAAACCCATTGCACACTGCTGCCAACTAGTGGTCGGCATTTGAATTGCACCACAAGAAAAGAAAATACACAAATGTTTCCATGTAAATTCTTCCAAAAATTTGATACACGACTTGAATATCGATACATTTTTGCAAGAAATAAATCCCGATATATTGCGATATCGATATTTTCGATACACAGCTTTTTAATATTGATATATCACTGGGGAAAATATCACCATATATTGCCATAATCGACATTTTCTTAAATCCCTAAGCAAAATCAAATCTCATTTCCTTCTTTTTGGTTTAATGGCGGATGATGCAAACTCGCGGGATTTTGTGATCTCGCGGGTCAAGCAAGCAGCACTCTCGTGGCTGAGAGTCTGCTGGTGTGCACTAGAGTGCAGCGAACCTTTCCGCTGCCGTTCCGAGCCGCTGAAGCTTCCAGCGCGCTGTAGGGATTCGTTTGGTTTCTGCCCCCACCCTCAGCTATGAATTTGTATTTTCCGGGAGTGACAGGACGCGTGACGCAGCCAAGATGGCGGCGATGGTGGGAACCGCTCACTGGGCTTCATTTCAGCTCTTCAGAAACCTGCGTAAGGCTCCCTGCAGAGTGAAACCCCGTCAGCAGAAAACCGAAGAGATGAGACGTTCTGACGTGAAAAAGTAATAAAAGCGACGGAGGACGACGAAGAGACGGGAAGCGGAGAAGGGGAGGGTGTAGAGGGGGAGCCAATAGTGTGAATGTAGCATTTTTCTTAAAGAGACAGTACCTTTTTTGTATATTGCACATTTAACAACAATAGAGTTCCTAATCTAAACACTGAAAAGGGTCCTGCGGTCCAGCAGAACCTCATTCCAGATCCCGTTTCTGCTGTGAATTCCTGTCGTTTATCCTTTTTACCTGCGAGGTCGGCTGTCGCAGCTCGTCGGCCCGACTTGGAGACTCGCTCTTCGCCCTCTGGCGCTCGGTGAGGACGACCACACTGCCGGTTGGACTGAACCTGTCGGACATAAACACCCACCATCATTCCGATATGGAACGCTGGGCGACGCTCCAGAGTGACAGGAACTCACCTGTCAGCCTCGCTGAAGCTGGAGGACGGCTGCACACTGCGGGCCCCCAGTGCTCCCAGGGGCCCCGTCACCACTGTGCTGCGTCCAGACGTGTCAATCATCACCGTCGCCCCCTCCTCCACCGGGCCCCCCTCCTCCAGCTGCTCTCCGGCACCGATCCAATCCTCCATCCTCTCAGTCTTGATCCTAACTCCATCCACGCCGGTGCCCTCCTCCGCGCTGTCGGTCCGCTCCGGCTCGCTGCTGGTCTCCACGTACCACTGCCCCGCCCGGTTTATGCGTAGGATGGGTTCTTTTCCCGCTCTGCTGCTGGTGGCCCCTGGCCCCTGGAGCCCGCTGTGCTCCACCGTTGGCGGCGGGCTGAGGGGTTCCTCTGCTGGGCTGACAACCTCGCATTGCTCCACCCCTCCCCGTGGCCCGAGAAGCCGTAAACCACCTTGATGGCCCCGTACCACGGCCTCCAGGGTCCTGCTACCCCTGGACCCTCGAACCACCTCTTCGTCCCGGGACCCCTCGTCCAGGTCGGCCAGGCTGATCTTGAGGTGGATCCCCTCGAGGATCTGGGTGCAGCGGTCGATGATGTGCTGCATCTGCAGGAAGCTGGCGGCCGTCAGGTAGCTGATGATGTCAGCGAGCTGCAGGCACAGGCGACCCGTGTAGCAGAAGGACAGGAGCTGTTCAAACACAGACGGGTTCCGGATCACCGTCAGGGACACGGTGCTCATCTGGCTCAGCGACATGTGGTCCCGGAAGTACGGCGAGCTGGCGGCAAGGACCACCTTGTGAGCTCGAAAACTCTGACCCTGAACGTTGACCACGATGTCGCAGAGACGCCCCTGGACGCGGAGCTGGTTGAGGTGGGTCAGGACCGAGTTACTGAAGTCGGGAATGTCCAGCTGAATGCTGCCGGAGCGCTCCATGCTGCAGCCTGCAGGAACACAACCAGATCAAAGCAACATCAGGACCCACGGATGGGGTTTTCTAGAAGCCCCTTTAGTAGTGAGTGATAATGTTTTTGCCTGTGTGTGTTTGGTCGTTAAACATCTCCGGAACCGATTCCAAGGAAACTAACTGGAACGCCAGAGAGAACGTCTAAAGCTGATACCTTCAGGAGTCAACCGCATTAAAGATGGCCGACAGACGACTTGTCTGAGCTGCTGTTGACTTCCTATCATGTAGAACCAGGCTGACCTCTGACCTGAGACTCTAGGCGGTTGTGGGTTCAAATCCCAGCAGAGCAGAGCAGCCTGTTTGGTACCAAAAACCTGAAATGGTGAAGGTGTCAGGTGTGTCCTCAGACAGGTCTAGTGACGTGTGATGGTGCATTGTTCAGGTGTGACCAACGCAAGAGATCAGAGGAGTTTGGTTTGAAGGCCACAGAATAAAATCTGTTTACAGGGATTTTAACTCATTGGGGCAACAGTGGAGTTAAGTCCTCGTCCCGTAATCGGAAGGTTGCAGGTTCGAGCCCCCGCTCAGTCTGTCCCTGTCGTTGTGTCCTTGGGCAAGACACTTAACCCCCCCTTGCCTGTTGGTGGTGGTCGGAGGGACCGGTGGCGCCTGTGCTCGGCAGCCTCGCCTCTGTCAGTGCGCCCCATCGTGGCTCATCACCACCAGGGTGTGAATGGGTGAATGACTGATGTTGTAAAGCGCCTTGGGGGGTTCAGGGACTAGAAGTACAGGTCATTTACCACCTTAACTCGTTGATGTACAAACATGTGAGTGAACCTGAGGAAAATATTTGACCCCAACAGCTCAGAACTCTGGCCCAGATCAGAACCGGTCCACTAGCGGGACACACTAACCAGTCACCCATTCGGTGAAAGGAGCTTCAGGTGTGCTCACCTGTATAAGGGGGCGGGGGCTGATCAGGTTTGGCTTCCGGACGCGTTCGTGACGAGACTTCAGTCCAGTAAAATTCTGTGCATCGCCGTCGGAACCGTGGATGACTCTGTTCGGTTCGGCTTGTCTCGGAACGGCCCGGCGGGCTGCAGCTCCACCCGCCTGCTCCTCCAGGCTGCGGGGCTCCGGCGGCGGTCGCGTCGTGTTCAGGGCCGGGGATCAGCAGCTGAGCTCGGCCTCCTCTCAGTCAGCAGCCGCGCCGCCGACATTCCGCTGGAAGTAAGGCTCGGTTCGGTTCCGGACCGCTGCAGCGGCGTCTCATCTTCCCTTTTCAGCAGAGAAGGGCCGAGTCTGCAGGAAGGAAGGAAAGGAGGAAGAAAACGCGCGTGGTGTGATGGGAAATGTAGTTCGCTTCCCAAACCAGCGCAGATCTGGTGCGAACTAACAGACTACATTTCCCAGCATGCGTCTGTTTGTCACAGGGGTCAAGATAAATGTTTAGCAGAGTACAAGAAATCTGTGTAAAAAATACTTTATTAACGTAAAAATACTGCTTTTACCGTATTTTGTACTTTAGTATACAATTAAAATCTGAAGATGTTTGATTTATTCAGTTAATCTGTGTTATTTAAACATTTCTGGATGTTTTTTAAGAACTTAAATATTTATTAAAATGTTGAAAAGATCAAATACCAAAATTTAAAGGGGCAAGAAAAATATAACTTAGAAATGTTTAAGTTATTGGTATCTCACCCCAACAGAATTTCTGAATCAGGAGTTCTTTCTGATTTTCTCAGCGATCACTCCTAGCCAAGCCCCCACAATGCGGGACAGAAATTGACAAAAGGATCCCTCATCCACTAGGGGCTGGTGTCAGAAGCGAGCAAATCCTCATTGACTCCCATGTTAAAAATACCAATTTCACAGCAGAAATAAACATGTTTACAGCCTGGTACCAAAACATGTTTTTGGTTTAAATGATCTAGTTTACACTCATGACAACTCTGAGGGGGGTGAATGTTTTTCTCACTCTTCTGTTTAAGTGTATTAAAAACCTAAAATTCTGTATAATTAATGAGCATCAGACCCACGTGACCACAGAGCTAGCTCCGTGGAAAGGCCTCAGTAGAGCCTCGGCCTCGCCTGAAAACTGTTCCGCCATTTTCAGTCTCTCAACTTAGACTATTAGTTGTAGCGTTTGTGCGTTCTTTTTGGATATTATTGTGCAATTGTTGGACAAAATGACTTGCTGTGGCATTAATTGAATTAACAGAGCATCCAAGGAGTCTCCACTTCATTTTTTCGGTAAGTAAAATTATATTTATGTATTTTAGGTCACTGCCGAGCTGAGCTTAGATTTTAACATGTACTGTTTAACCATGACATTTAAATGTAATAGGGTAAAACCCAGTGCATTTAACATAATGCTGCACTTTAGAAAATGGGTTGAAATATAACATGTTGGTGGAGCTGGGTTCCCACTACCGGCTTGTGGAGCTCTCGGGAGACCTCTGTGTTCCACCCGGTTTTACCCAGCGGTCAGCCCGGCGTATCTCTGACTCAGAAGCTCTGGTGTTGTGCACAGTTAACTCCGGTTGTAGCTAGGTTGCTACCTCCGTTAGCTTAGCTCCCACCTCTGCTTTAGCTTTGGGTTAGCTTCAGGTTAGCTTGTAGCTAGTTTGACCGGGTGTCGTCAGTTGATCCCAGCCTTACAGCCACACCCTCAGCTCCACCTCTCTTCCCTTTTGTGGAATTGTCTGGGCTTGACGGAACCTGTGACACGGTCAAAATGGTGGTGGCCACCTCCCATTTCTCCTCAAAAACGTGTAATTGGAGCCCATGGAAATGTCCAGTATATATGTCGATGCTCCTAGCCTGGCCTGCCAGACTCGTGCTCTGTTTAACTCTGCACAGAGAAAGAGTCTGGTAACTCACAGGCAGAGAGGCGCATGAGGGGCGGGACTAGCCAGCTCAAAAATAACCAATCAGAAAAAAAGACGGAAATGCCGACTGTACCGTGTGACGCTGTAATTTCTTTGCTGTAGTAAAAAAAGGCGTCTGGCGATGGCACAAACTTCTTTCTTTAGAAGAAAGGCTTTTAGCGCTTCTACTTGTTGTGGTTTTAAAGATGTGTCCAAGTCATTTAGCACAGAGGAAAGAGCCGCAGCAAACTCCGCTTCAGTCGCCATGTTTATGACAAACCCGGCGTTATGGTGTGTCACCTGGTTGTCTAGGGGGTGTCCTGAAAACAATGTGGGCTACATTGATGATTGGAAAACCTTTTTGGGAAAACCTGGTCTGATGCGAAGAGACGGCATCCATCCCTCTTTAGATGGAGCAGCTCTTCTTTCTAGGAACATGGCCGGTTTTATTAGTCCTCCATGACAACCATGGGTCCAGACCTGGAAGCAGAGTTGTAGTTTAACACGGAGGCGATCCAAAATGGCGCTCTGAGCAGTCGCTTGTGGTTGAGCTCTACAACCTAGCTTTATTTTATATAAAAAATTTGCAGTGAACAGAAATATTTTGTACTCACATCCGACAGATATCACTATTTACAAGCCCTGGAAGCCCCGGAGGAGCCAGAATGAGTAGGTCTGAAAAGAGAAAGACTGAAGCTAAGAAATCGCTTATTAACATTGGTGTTGTTAGCAGGCCTGCTAACGTTAACCAAGCAGATCAATCTTCTCCCGCTCCGGACTGCCCAGCGGATACAAGAAACATGTTTATTGACTCTATGCATGACTACAGTATCTTAAAGCAGCTAAGGAACCTTCAGATCAATGCTCCCAAATGGAAGAAGATTTTCCTCCACTCCCTGTTACTCCGCATGCGTCTCCTGCTGGCAAGCTAAGGAAAGTTGTGGATACAGAATCCTCCGCGCTCCTCTCAGTTATCATCACTTACCAAGCTGATTGAGTTGAGGTCGGACACTCTTGAAAAGATGGTGAATGGCAACTCTATCATCATTGCAGAAATGAAAACTGCAGTTCAAGTCAACTCCGAACGCATTACGGCAGTGAAGGTCTCGTTTGATGTCCTCCGTGCGAACATAAATGACATGAAGAACAGGATTGTTAACACTGAGATGCAGTTGGATGTTGATGGGGAGAAAATCGAAGCACAGGAAAAGCGAATCTCTCATCTGGAAAGCTATTCGCGCCGCTCGAACTTGAAACTTTATGGCTTGGAAGAAAAAGAGAAGCAGAACGTGCGGCAGGAAATCATCCAAATCTGCCGGTCTGTTTATCCAGATGCACAAGATAAGTTCAACGATGTTGTCGACATGGTGCATCACATTGGCCCTAAAAAGCCCAACCAGCCCAGAGGAATCATTATTCAATTCACATCCAGAATCTACCGGGATGCTGTGTGGCGCGCTGCCAAGAAATCTGCTTTCCTGAAAAGCAAAAATCTGAAGCTGGCTGAGGATTTATCACCAGAAGACCGAGTCCGAAGAAACCGACTCTGGCCGCCTGTGGAGGCTGCGCGTAAAGAAAGCAAGATGGCGTTCTTTGTGGGAGGGTGGGCATTCGTGTATGGAAATGAGGTCTTTCCGCCTGATTGATGAGATCTGGGTTACTTTGTGTTCAGATTGAGACTTTAGATGGTTCATCCAACTTACTTATTACCATTCGATGTTTTTCAGGTTTTGTACTTTATCACTTAAAGAGGAATAAGTGTCATATTTCTTTATAGTTACTATTACTATTTTTTTACAATAGTCTTTGAAGTAGGTTCTCAATAGACTAACCCTAGTTCCCTGTTACATTTTTGAGGGTAGACTTCAAGTTCTCTTCTCCTGCAGCACACGCTTTAGTGACCAAAGGTTCGAAATTTAAATTCTCTTTTGTCTTATCTGGTCTAAGCTTGTTCATTTGTTACATTTAATTGTTATTTTTTACCTTTTACTCTTATGTAACTGACTGTCTATTATTTCTTTAAATGCAAGAGAGTCACACTCTACTGAACAAGATGAGTCTTTTTGGAGATCACAATGGGGTGATGGTTTGTGGATGTCTCATGGCACAGAACGGGCAGCTGGGGTTTGCATACTGAAAGGAAGGTTTAGTGGTAGGATTTTACATTCTGATATAGTTAAAAGTGGTTATTGTGTAGAGCTGCGCAGTGGCACAGTGGTTAGAGCTGTTGCCTTGCAGCAAGAAGGTCCTGGGTTCACATCCCGGCCTGGTGTCTTTCTGCATGGAGTTTGTATGTTCTCCCTGTGCATGCGTGGGTTCTCTCCGGGTACTCCGGCTTCCTCCCACAGTCCAAAATCATGACTGTTAGGTTGATTGGTCTGTCCAAATTGTCCTTAGGTGTGAGTGTGTGTGTGTGATTGTTTGTCCTGTGTGTCTCTGTGTTGCCCTGCGATGGACTGGCTCTCTGTCCAGGGTGTACCCCGCCTGATTGCCCATTGACCGCTGAAGGTAGGCACAGGCCCGCGGCCCTGCGTGGACAAAGCGGGTTCAGAAAATGGATGGATGGGTTATTATGTGTTTTTAATCACTGAAGTAACACACTCTACCTATACTCTAGCTAATGTCTACGGTTTTAACTGCCAAAGAGGAAATAAACTCTATTTAGATAGATTAGGCGAGCGCCTAATGCATTGGTTATCTAAGTATCCGAATGCTTTCATGGTTCTTGGGGGTGACTTTAATATGGTATTCGATTGCGCTTTAGACAGATGGCCTTCTAGGAATGAAGACTCTGTTGGCTCATTTGTAGGTTACTTTGCACAAAGGTTTAATTTGATTGATACTTGGAGGGATTCCCATACTTCTCAAATTGCATATACGTGGAGTAATAGGACTCAAACTAGACATTCGCGCATCGATTATTGGCTTGTTTCAACAGATCTTGAAAAGGTTCAAACTGATACTCTTCCAGCGCAGCTTTCTGATCACAAACTGATTAACATATCTATTCAATTATCACACTCTTCGGCTAATAGGCCATCATATTGGGAACTTAGTTCTATTCTTGAACATGAAGATGTAATCTCAGAAGTTAAAAGACTGATGTAGATGTGTTAAATTATGCGCTCTCCATTCAAGCGAAAATAATTTCAATATGGGTACAAACAAGTCAATAGTCAAACGACCTCAGCTGGAGTCTGTTGTTCACGCCTTTGTCACCACACATTTAGACCATGCCAACTCACTACTTGTTGGTGTCAGCGTCTCAGCAATCGAGCGTCTACAGAGAGTGCAAAATGCGGCGGCTGGGTTCCTGACAAACACTTTGAGACGCTGTCACATTTCACCCGTCCTTGCACGCTTGCACTGGCTGCCTGTTAAATACCACATCCAATTTAAGGTTTTGACCTTTGTCTACAACATTCTGAATGGTCAAGCCCCGGCTTATCTTTCAGAACTGATAAAGCCTTATGCTCCAACCAGAAACCTGAGATCTGCACATCATTTGCTTTTGTGCGTCCCGAAAATGAGGTATAAATCTCGTGGAGAGCGGGCCTTTGCGTTCACTGCTCCTAAACTCTGGAACACTCCTCCCCTTGGTGTTCGACAGGCCCCAGAACTGGATCGATTTAAGTCGGTACTGAAGGCCTTCTTCTATCATTTAGCTTTTATTCAATGATCTAGCTTTTAGTGTTTTTACGTTTTATTGTGACGCTGTATTTTATTGTTGTATGTTTCTTTTACAATTTTTTAGATTTTACCTCTTAACTCCTATATGACTTATCTGTTTTATCTTGGGGGTTGTCCGTTTTACTGTACAGCACTTTGGTCAGCTGTCATGCTGTTTTTAAATGTGCTATATAAACAAACATGGTATGGTATGGTATCCATCCATCCATCCATCCATCCATCCATCCATCCATCCATCCATCCATCATCCAGTCATGTTATGTTTATTTATTTGGCAGATGCTTTTATCCAAAGTGACTTACAATTTATAACCTATAGGGCATGTTGTGATCAGTGGGGGAAACCGGAGTACCCGGAGGAAACCCACGCATACATCCATTAATCCATCCATCCATCCATCCATCCATCCATCCATCCATCCATCCATCCATCCATCCGTGTCAGTTCTTTCCTTTCCATACATCCGTCTATCCAGGCACCCCCAGACTAGAGATGATCTAGAATCACTCCAGAACTCCTTTTGGTCCCTGGAATGCTCCAAAAGAAGGAGACCTGCAGGAGGTATCCTAATCCGGTACCTGATCTACGTCCTCCTGAGTCATTCCACTGAAGAGGAGCAGCTTTACTCTTAGCACCACCCGGATAACAGGGAAGATTATTGCAGCCAGTTTGATCCAGGATCTTGGTGCACATGGACCAGTAAATCAAGGCCATCTCCATCCAGCTCAGCTCCCCACGTGGCTTCCCCACGGCACACTGGACCAGACAAAGTCCCAATCCTTCAGTCCGTCTCTTCTCCATCACTCAGGAACACGTGCTTTCATGTGAGTTCATATTTAAATTGTTGTCTTACTCAATGCAAATCTATCCTCGAGACGCCACCTTGAACCAGGTGTCCATGCATTTTTCAAGACCGGATTTCACAAATTTGGTCCTCATTGTTGTCACTGCGTCCTCCCTCAATTGTCTGCCGAACGTGTCAAATGTCGCAGCCAGATTGTTTACTAGTACTTACTGACGGACTCGCATCACTCCCGTTCTTGTATTCTACTGGGTTCGACCCTTCGTCTACAAAGCCCTCAATGGGCCAACTGCCCTTTCCCTGTCAGCGCTGCTCACCCCTTCTGTCCTCTTTCAAGCTCTAGGTCTTCTGATCCGATCATCTCCTACTGTGTTGACAGCCCCCCAAGGCGCTTTACAATACAGTCATTCACCTCTACGCACACAGATATACACATACTGGTGGTGATGAGCTACACTGTGGCCACAGCTCTGATAGAGGTGAGCGCGTTGAACAGAGACACCGCTGGTCCCTCCGACCACCACCATCAACAGGCAGGGAGGTTGAAGTGCCTTGCCCAAGGGCACAACAACAATGGCAAACGGGGCTTGAACCTGCAGCTTCTGATGTTATCAAATGGTTTCAATGCTGGCTGCTCATTTCCTTCCTCAAAATCTAGATTTTACTAATTCGCTCATTTCATCCTTTTTACTGAACGAGTGGAGTCGTGTGATGTTCAGGGCTTCTTTAGACCAGAACGGTGTTTCTATTCCTGCATTTATTAAAGGCTAAAAAGCAAACATTCAGGAGTTAAAAGGTGCAGAAAAACAAACAGACTTTAGGCAGAAAACACGTAAAAAATAATTAATCATTCCATTACATAAAAATCCACCTGATGTAGAACATGAGGAAGCCAAAGGTTGGTGATCACCATGGCAACAAACTGCTCCACTGCAGAAGCCCACTGTTGCCAAATGTTCTACAAAGTTTTACAATCATAACAAAAAAACAGATTCATTTAGGCTCCGATTAGATAAAACGTATTTCAAATCAAAAAAACTTGTTATGGGAAACATTTAAATGTTTTTTACTGATCAATAAAAGCTTTGTTGTTTTTATTTGTCGTTTATGTACCAAATGGGCTTCCGTAGTTCTGAGACTCAGCTGAACAGAAGGTTTTTTTAATCTCAAGAACAGTTTTTCTTTTTCTGTTTTCAGATATAAATTAATAAAACTAGACAAAGGTCACTACAGACAACACAAAAACACAACTGGACATTAATTTTCTACATTTACACAAATCAGGAAAATAACTCACAAATTCAGAGTTCAGCTAATAAAAAAGTCAATTATAAAAAAAAATTACGCTCAGAAGTTTTCAACAGCTGAAAATTTCACCCAAAGGAAGAAAAAAATAACAAAAATATTTTGTTTTTTTAAATATCAAACTAAATCATTGCACATTTAGAAATGTAGAAATGAATTAACTATTCTTTTTTGGGCTAAAATATATTTTAATTAATCAAAAGTGGCCATTTAGTGTTGCACTTTTGATTTAAAAGTGTAAAGCATCTATTAACGGCACATGCCTTTAACGGTTTCTTTTGAAATGACAAATGATTTCAGTTTAAAATGACTTCAACCTTAAATTCTACTATTATGTGATCAATGCAACAACGTTTTCAAGCAAGTCACCCCCAAATCTATTTTTTCTGATAAACTATATAAATGCGTGCCTAATCCTGCTGCAGACACGTGTCGTGAACAGTTTTGCACTTTAGTGCATTTTAGTTAAAATTTAAATTTTCTGCCTAAAACTGTCAGTGTTGTGACGTTGTCAGGTAAAAACTCTGCACTGCATTTGAATTTAAATCTGCCATCGCTATTGGCCAAGTGGTACCCTAGAACGTTAGCTGGTACCATATGATGTCACAATGTCGTTGTGAGCCTGTGTGTGTGTGTATTTCTTTGCGGCTCCGCCCTCTCGGTCTGCTAGGCAACAGCATTTGTTGCATTTTTCAAACAGGAAGTGGGAGTGGAGTAATACTCTGGTAGGGGGTGACTTGCTCTTTAAACAGCTTTTTCCTCGTGTTTGTGGGACTTTATAACGAAATAATAGCCGTGACAAAACCTTTTTCACCGATTTTGAATAAAAATAATCTAAAGGGCAGAAGATCAGCTCAGCTCTGAATTCACGAGTGTTTTCAAGACAAAAGAAGAACAAAATCAACACATTTGACTGAATTAATTCCTTAAATATTTGACGGTTGGGGGTTTAAGTGCTACACGTTCTAGTTGTTCTTAGAAGGTAAGTAGAAGGTCCGGTTCTTGGTTCTGGGTGAAGTTCTGTTCCTTCATCAGTGGCCCCGGATTCTGTGACTCATGTGGGATCAAAGTTCTGTTTAATGAGAAAGGTTGACGTGCTGAACCCGGTTCTGATCAGACCCGGTCTTGACCCTGAGTCACAAGAACCCACATGCAGCATCTTGGAGCAGGAACCATCTGAATGCTCTGAGCCACAAACGCACTGGAAACCTAACTGGTACCAGTTAAACCAGCCTGCAAAGCTCTAAAGTTCTGAGAGTTCTGATTGAACGGAAGTTGGGTTCACAAAGTTTGTTTACGATGACGAGGTGACATTCCCTGAGGTCTCCCGAGGAGAATACTCCGCCTCCTCCTTGTTGGGGTGGGAGGAGTTATCTGATTTGCTGCGGCTAAACTCCGCCCCCATTATCGGACCCGTGAACTTGGGCTTCCGGCGGATGCAGGAGGTGCAGCACATTAGTGTCTTAAGGAATGCTCGGCGCATCTCGTTGCTGGTCAGCGTGTAAATGAGCGGGTTCATGGCAGAGTTGAGTACGGCGAGTGCCAGGAACCACTCGGCCTTGTAGAGGACGGGACAGGTCAGAGTCTCACAGGCCACGTCCAGCAGCAGAAGGACGAAGAGCGGCGCCCAGCAGGCAATGAAGCAGCTCAGAACAATGATGACGGTCTTCAGCAGTGCCAGGGACTTCTCTGAGCTCTTGCTGTTGGCACTGGTGCCGCCCCGCCCGTTGGAGACTTTGCGGAAGACAAGCTTGCGACTGCGAGCGCGGACCAGGGCATAGATCCGGGCATACAACACCACGATGGCCATGAGGATGATGCTGAAGACGGTGGTGCAGAACAGGATGTAGGTCTTATGGTAGAGTGGCAGCACGGTGGAGCACTGCACCATGCGGTCGATGCAGTTCCACCCTATCACTGGCAGCCCGCCCAGCGCCGCCGCAATCATCCACACGGTGCTGATGAGTAGGAAAACCCGGCAAGTGTTCCCGTTGTTGTGCAGCTTCATCTTCAGCATGGTGAGGTGGCGCTCGATTGCGATGGCCAGCAGGCTGAAGATGGACGCCGCCAGTGCCACAAACATGCTGCCCTCCCGGAAGAACCACTGCGTTGGCGTCAGCTTGTAGGTGTTGGCGCCGGACAGGAGGATGTTAGCGGTGTAGACGACACCTGCCAGCAAGTCCGACAGCGCCAAGTTCCCGATGAAGTAGTACATGGGCTTGTGGAACTTCTTGGTCCTCCAGATGGTGGTCAGGACCAGGACGTTCTCCAGGATGATGAAGCAACACACAATGATGAAGACCACTGAGTCGGCCTTCAGACCGGAGTCCTGCTGGGTCGTCTTACGGAACTTTCCGGTGTAGTTGTAGTGTTTGGCAATGAGGTCGGAATAACTGGGATCAGCCATGGCCTGCTGCATGAGTCCAGCAGGGGGCGCTGCGTCCTCACAAATCAGTTATTCATGTCAGGTGGTCCTCCTGAGGAGGAGCTGAGAGGGACATGGTCCTGCAGGAACAGGAGAGGAACACTTGAATAAAAGCTTCTCCGTTCAGGAGATTACATCCCTGATTTCAACAAGCTCGCTCTAACCCTAACCCTGTCATCTGTAAACATCTGTGACCAGCTTGACTAAAGTTCATAAAACATATTAATCCAAATAAATAATCATTATCAGAAAAATAACATTTAAATCATGAAGAGTTTGTTTATTTTTGGCGTTTTGGTTCTGAGGCAGTTTTATTCAACAGATAAAAATCTAAAAAACCTTAAACGTAACAAATTCACGTAAAACTTCATGTTTGTTGTTAAATCAAACATCTGTTCAGCTGTTCATCCTAAAAATGATCTAACTAGACGTTATCCGCAAACTAAACGCTGCGGAGTTTAGTGATTATAATCACATTTCAACGAAATATTCTCATAAAACGTCCTTAAATTATTTTGACATGTCTCACTACGATGCTCATGATCATTTTATTATCATAATAAAATATTTATATTTTACTTTATTTATCTGTTTATTTAGGCTGGGGTTCCAAATAACGTGGCTAAATTGAGGGAATTTCTTCTGCTTTGTAAATGTCTGAAACCTGAACATGAAGGCTTAAACTGGACGGATCCCATCATTCTGCTGTTTATTGGTGATTAAATAAAACATTAAAGTTAGACTTGACCTCAGCACAGAGAAAAGTTGTTTAAATCCACCAGAGTTACTGAAGACTCGGTTTTAGTCTTTATTCGACTCAATAACGATCAAATATCATTGAAGAGGAACTGAATTTGAACAGAATCACCCAAACCCACACACGAGTCCCGCCACGATGATTAAATCAGTTCTTTTCGACTTTATTTAGGGTTTTGAACTTTTATCGACTTTATTCCAGTAAAAACTCCGCAGACTGACCTGAGTTCAGCCGAGCGCGGCTCCTCAAGCCGGGAGGACAGAAGGCGGCTCCGCTCCTGGTTCTGGTTCTGGTTCTGGTTCTGGTCCAGTAGATACAGAACAAAACAAACATAAAAAACAGGTCCGACTCCTCTGGTGCAGCTGAAGATCCGCGTGGGTTGCTCCGAAGGTCGACCAGAACAACAAAGACGTTTTTGGTTTTTACAGAGTCCGACTGCAGAGAGGAGAGGACACACGCACACGCACGCGCACGCGCAGGACCGGGAACGACGAGGAGGAGGATGCTGTCCTCCTCGTGTTTGTCTGTTTCACATCAGATGGATGGATGAAGATGGATGGATGGGAAAATAAATGGTTGAATGAATAAATAAATGGATGGATGGATGGATGATGGATTAATGGATGGATGGATGATGGATTAATGGATGGATGGATGATGGATGATGGATTAATGGATGGATGGATGATGGATTAATGGATGGATGGATGGATGGATGGATGGATGATGGATTAATGGATGGATGGGTGGATGGATGTATGATGGATGAATGGATAAATGAATGGATGGATGATGGATTAATGGATGGATGGATGATGGATTAATGGATGGATGGATGGATGGATGGATGGATGGATGATGGATTAATGGATGGATGGGTGGATGGATGTATGATGGATGAATGGATAGATGGATGGATGGATGGGTGGATGGATGTATGATGGATGAATGGATAGATGGATGGATGGATGATGGATGGATGGATGGATGGATGATGGATGAATGGATGGATGGATGATGGATGGATGGATGGATAGATGGATGGATGGATGGATGATGGATGAATGGATGGATGGACGGATGATGGATTAATGGATGGATGGATGGATGTATGATGGATTAATGGATGGATGGATGGATAGATGGATGTATGATGGATTAATGGATGGATGGATGGATAGATGGATGTATGATGGATTAATGGATGGATGGATAGATGGATGGATGGATGGATGGATGGATGATGGATTAATGGATGGATGGATGGATGGATGGATGATGGATTAATGGATGGATGGATGGATAGATGGATGTATGATGGATTAATGGATGGATGGATAGATGGATGGATGGATGGATGATGGATTAATGAATGGATGGGTGGATGGATGTATGATGGATGAATGGATGGATGGATGGATGGATGGATGGATGGATGAATGGATGGATGGATGATGGATGGATGGATGGATAGATGGATGGATGGATGGATGATGGATTAATGGATGGATGGATAGATGGATGGATGGATGGATGATGGATTAATGTATGTATGGATGGATGGATAGATGGATGGATGGATGGATGATGGATTAATGTATGTATGGATGGATGGATAGATGGATGTATGATGGATTAATGGATGGATGGGTGGATGGATAGATGGATGTATGATGGATTAATGGATGGATGGGTGGATGGATGTATGATGGATGAATGGATGGATGGATTAATGGATGGATTAATGGATGGATGGATGATGGATGAATGGATGGATGGATGGATTAATGGATGGATGAATGGATGGATGGATGACCATCAACTACCTCACCAACCAGCCACAGTACATGAGGCTGCACAACTGTACGTCTGAGGTGGTTGTGTGCAGTACTGGAGCTCCACAGGGTACAGTGCTCTCTCCCTTTCTCTTGTTTTTTAAAACTTTATTTTATTTTTACACGGACTGTACAACAAAACATTATCACCATTAGAAACAGATGCAGCATACATAAGGTTTCTAGCCAGAGGCTAATTCACAGCCCGTGTCCCTGTTTGGGCATTTATATCTAAACAGAATTAAAGTAACAGATACATAAATACTGTGCCGTTGCAAGTTACACCAATAAAGTACATAAAAATTACATAAAAGTACCAAAAACTACATATTCAGAATAAATGCCAATGTTTCAATGTTGACATCTTCACCTTTTACCTCTGACTTCATCTACAACACCAGCAGCTGTCATCTCCAGAAGTTCTCTGATGACTCGGCCATTGTCGGCTGTGTGTCTGAGGGGAATGACCAGGAGTACAGGTCAGACACTCCCCCTCACTCACCAGTAAACATCCAGGGAGCAGACACTGAGGTGGTGGAAACCTTTAAGTACCTGGGTGTTCACCTCAACAGTAAACTGAACTGGTCCAACAACACAGATGCTGTATAAGAAGAGCCAAAGCCACCTCCTCCTGAGGAGGCTGAGGTCCTCCTGAGTTAATTCCCAGTTGCTAAAATGCTTTTAGAGCAGAGCAGGTCTGACCGAGACAGGAAGAGACTGAACAAGCTAGGTAACAAAGCTAACTCAGTTCTGAGCTGCCCACTGGATTCAGTTGAGGAGATGTGAGAAAGGAGGACTCTGGTGAAGATGACCTCCATCTTAAAAAAAAAAACTCCCACCCACTGCGTTCCACTGTGGAGACCATGGACAGCTCCTTCAGAGGCAGACTTAGACATCCCAGATGTAAAACAGAACGCTACCGTAGGTCATTCATCTCCTCAGCTGTAAGAGTGCAGAACTCCTCAGTTTAACTGGTACTGGCATTATCCTGGTACACAATACCACCAATGCAGTACTCAGTATGTGTTCAATACCAGATTTACATAGTATGTTTGTGTCTCTTGTAGTATTTTGCATAGTGTTTTTTCTTTCTTTATTCATAATTTTTAGTGGTTGAAGGTTACAATACTAGATTACTGTCTATGTGTGTACACATGTACCTTTGTTACTAATGGTGTTGGTGCTGCTGTAACCAGTGACTTTCCCCACTGTGGGACCAATCAAGTCTATTCTATTCAGGAAACATTTTATTGGGGAAACTGGAAATACTATTATTATCTGACAAAGAATTGAGTCTGAGAAGTTTATGTCAAATACGCAATACAGAAATATCTTCTGTCAGAATATTCCGATATTATTATTGGTGTGAATGAATTAATGAATGAAATATGAATAATTCAATTCAATTTTATTTATAGAGCGCCAAATCAGGACCAGAGTCGTCTCAAGGACCTTCACACAGTAAACATTCCAATACAGGTCAGGTCATTAAGCCAATCAGTAACAAGTTTCCTACATAAGGAACCCAGCAGGTTGCATCGAGTCACTGACTAGTGTCAGAGTCTTTACAGCAATCCTCATACTAAGCAAGCATTTAGCAACAGTGGAGAGGAAAACTCCCTTTTAACAGGAAGAAACCTCCAGAGAATCCTGGCTCAGTATAAGCAGCCATCCTCCACGACTCACTGGGGATGGAGAAGACAGAACACAAACAACACACACACACACACACACACACAGACCACAAACAACACACACACACACACACACACACACACACACACACACACACACACACACACACACACACACACACACACACACACACACACACACACACACACACACACACACACACACACACAGACCACAAACAACACATACACATGCACACACAGACAGACCACAAACACACACACACACAAACATGCACACACAGACCACAAACTGCACGCGCACACACACACACACACACACACACACACACACACACACACACGCACGCACACACACACACACCAACTTCACCTATCCATCCATCCTGTTCAGGGTGGTGTGAAGCTGGTTTCTGGAAAGGTAGTCCCTGGCCCCTCCCACTCTTCAGCTCCTTGTTTGAGTCGTTGGTGCTGATGATCTTAACAGGTCCTAACAGGCTCTTGGCTCTCAGACTGCAGGTTCTCTTGGTTCCTAAAATATCTAAACTAGGATGGAAGCAGAATGAGTAAAATTATTCATATTTTGACAAAAGCGTTCAGATTATTGGTTGCCATGAGTGTGTGAAGAGCATAGCAAGGGAAATGGCAAAAATGCTCCAGAAAATTGTGGTCTTCTCAACCTCAACTTGGGGATATCGTCTCTGAAACACATTAAAGTAATTCCTTCTTCAGAAACAATCCTCCCCAGGTCTACCTGGTACCTGAATGGTCAGGCTTCCAACAAAACACAATAAAACACCAAAACCATAAAACTAGTGATGTTTACATGATTCAAAAACTAAAGTCCCATCATCCCTTTAAGATGTCACCCTCAGGTCATCTACTGTATAGAAATGATGGATTATCAAAGGGATCACATCTCTAGGCTGGTCTGGGAGTGCCGGGTCCCACCGGAGGAGCTGAAGAGAGGATGGATTGGGCTTCAGTGCTCGCTGCCACCCCTGAGACCCAGACCCGGATAAGGGATCGATAACCGGGTAATATTGTTATGAAACTTCATGCATGATCCTTCAGCTGTACGGTTTGAGAATTTGAGTGCTTTAAGAGCTCAATATATATTACCTCTACTCATGACCAATAATCTGTGATACTCTATCTAAATATAGAACATCAACCTGCCTGGTCTTTACTGTGTTAATCAGAAGATTCTAGGATTCTTGCTGTATCAAGGGATTGTGCACACTTCGTTTTGATTCAGGAAACAGTCAGGTTTGCAAAAGTAAGAATTAATTTTACAAAAACACAACAGGTTAACTAACATTTACTGTGATGGATGGAACTAGATGTGATGTATGAACCTATATGTGAATGCGATGCTATCAGAACTTCCGTATCTAGGAGAGCTGAGTTCTGGATGTAAAAGAATTTGGTTTGCGTTAAGCTATTAAGTTGATTATATCAAAAACACATCAGACGCAATCTGTCATGTCTACATACCCACTCGAAGACCCTCGTGATAGATCCGGAATGTCGAAGTCCTCGGACTTCCAGGCACCGAGGTCCGTAGAAGAAACTGCGGCACTACTAGACCGGTCTTGGAGTTGTCTCCGGGTCACAGCAGATGGATGGAACCGCGCGTCTGGGACTCTTAAGGAGTCTAAACAATATCAGCTTGTTCTGCAGGAACCGTTTGCGGTATCAGCTTCGCAGGTGCAGAAAGGTTTTGACGACGTGTCGAAAGCTTTGATGGTTAAAGAGGGTTTGCTTCAGATGGCCGGTCTGAAACTTTTCTCTAGAACTGCTGAATCACCAGAGTGATCCAGGTTTAAAGTTCTCATGTTATGATTTGTGTAGCCAACCAGAGGTCGGCAAGTTGAGGAATATTACCTAGACAACTCAGAAACATGCCTTCTTTGATCCGGATCCGTTCCCGGACCAGATTGGAGATGTAACCTCTCCAACGTGTCCTGGGTCGACCCGGGGGCCTCCTGCCGGCAGG